TCACGCTAACTTCGTAATCATAGTTTCGTCCTAACGCAAATAGAATTACTCATGTCCGATTTATTTTGGTCAAGACAGCTTGCCGATGCTCATTTTCATAACGAACATCCCCCCTATTATTAGATCATTTTGGCGCACTAATAATATAAGAGGTGCAAATGCAAATGTATCAAATCAATTTAATTATTAAATCGTCTCTGAATTTATAAAACGACGATGCTATATGCAGAACGCTATTCCCGCGGGATCCGAGGCGGCAACACCCAACCGGACGGATCAATGGAGAATTTATCAATTGATTTTCCATCGATCGCCGGCCGCCGCGGGGTACGTACGCGTTTTTAGAAATTCGTCAGAGCCCGCCGCCGTCGCGCAACGAGCCCGAAGATGCATGGCCGTGCAATTTGTATAACGACCAGCCGTTTAACTTTAGATCCTGTAAGGCTCAATTAGAGCCGTGTCGCGTTAACGAGTGCCGAAATAGCGTCACTATTAGCGTGATGTACCGATTAGCCAGCTTGGTAACGCCTACGGACAGTACAAACGACGCATGGGTGTAACCTGCCACGGGGTTCTTTACGATGAAAGAGAAATTATGCGAGAGTGACTAATTGATTCTTCTTGTCTTGTCTTGCTTTAAGCTTCTCGATCCTTCACGGAACAATAAGACACGTAAGACGGCGGACGAAGCAGTCGTTCCACCTCCCTGGCACGGTTATGCCAAATTGGTGAACTTGGAAACCGATCGAACTATTGGGTTGGCAACTAAGTAATTGCTGATTTCAGTTAGAGGTGTCTCTCGCTCCCATTTTTATGATATCCGTAAATGTTATATTATAAAATTATTATTATTATTATTATATATTATATTATATTATTATTATATATTATATTATATTATATTATTATTATTATATATTATATTATATTATTATTATTGTTATATATTATATTATAATATATTATTATATATTATTATATTATATTATATTATATATTATTATTATATATTACATATTATATTATCCGTGAATGTTAGCAACTGGACAAATTGAATGCAGCGGTCAAGGAAAAGCGACCAGGATTGGTCAATCGTAAAGGTGTCATTTTCCACTAGGACAATGCTAGGCCGCACACGTCTTTGGTCACTCGGCAAAAATTGATGAATATTGGGAATTGATGTTACACCCACTATATAGCCCTGATCTCGCGCCATCGGATTACTACTTATTTCGATCCCTGGACAACTCCCTTCGTGGTAAAGCTTTTAACGATGATGACGCTGTAAAATCTCACTTAACTCAGTTTTTGGCCGAAAAGGATCAGACTTTCTACGAGCGTGGAATTTTCAAGTTGTCAGAGAGACGGCAAAAGGTCATCGAACAAAATGGAAAATACATTACAGATTAAACTTCGTTCCAAGTAAAACAAAATTTTTTATTTCATCGAACAAATTGGCAATTACTTAGTTACCAACCCAATATAAAAACACTCGCGGTTTTATGAAAATATTATTTTCTATACAATCGCTAAAATTGTTAACACTTGCGACTAGATTGCGGATCTTTGAGCAAATTAAAATTTTCGGTATTATAAAATTTATGATAATTTTAATCGACTGAAACTATCCTATTGATATTTATCAATCGTCTCAACCCTTTCGTCGTAAATGCATAAAATCTATCGTCTATTTACGACAATACTCCAAAACTATAATACTTTAACTCTGCGAACGAAATGTCTCGCACGTTTCCGTAGAAAGTGCCAACATAATTTCGAACCGGAAATTTTCAAAAAATCAAACGTATAAAAATAATTTCTCATAAATTTCGAGTGCCTGTCGAGCAAATTAGAAAATTTATTTCACGCAATGTTGTTTCATAGCAAATCATTAAGAAGTTGATTTAGGATCCCGACGTCGTAGAAAGTTACAGAAATTTCGCGGCTACGTAGATTTCGATAAATAAATTCTCGCGAGCGGTACCCTCCCCTCCAATTTTCTGGCGTTCAATTCTAATTGTTAAACGAACGTTCACCCGACGGCTGAGACAATAGGCGAACCCGTCCGAGCGGATCAATTGGTGTCCATAATAGACACGTTATTAGGCGCGTGGGTGTATTTACGTCATAATGAGTATGCAAAGCGATCAGCGTTAACGAGCCAGTTCGCTTTCAACGGGATGCGCGTTACCATAAGCCCAGCCGTCACGTTCCTCGTATTTTTATCGTTCGCCTCGCGAATGCCATGCCGGCGCGGAACGTGTTTCCCATTAGGTTACCCACTATGCCACCCCCGCACGGCCGGCCCTTAACGAGCACGTTTATCCGGCCGATCTTGGCGCGAGCCAATCTACCCGCAGGATAATGATGTACCCTTCTCGGTGTCAATCCGCTCGACGTCATCGGAGGCATCGTGCTCGCTCAATTCGGAACACTGTCCGGTCCAGCTTCTTCGAGCTTTAACCAGTTGGCTGTGGCGCCTCCTTTTCAGAGCGCGCACCTATGTGTGTCGCGAGGATCGAGCGACGACGAGTATACTCGTCGAAAGCAGAGTAAGCGTCGCTGTTAAAATATTGGATCAAAGAGGCGGTTTTGTTTGATAAAATTAACGATTTTATATGGAATAGCGAATCCATGGAAGCATTAAGATTCAAAGGGCATAAAATATATTTGAAAGTTAAATACGAGTCAAAAGGCGTCTGGAATAGGGTGTAACCAGACGCAACGAATTCGGGACTCCTTCCACCCCTGCTGTACTTATTGTGTTTCGACGCTTTTGGCAATCTTTGTTTGCCTCGTGCTCCGTTGACAGAATATCTTTCCTCAATTTCGTCGCATTTTATTTCCCGAGGCAACGTAATCTGCTTCGACTTGTTAACCAATTAGCTGTGGCGCTTCTTTTTCAGAGCGCGCCCCTGTATGTGTCGCAAGAATCATGCGACGACGAGTATACTTTTCTTCGAACACAGAGTAAGCGTCGCTGTTAAAATATTGCATCAAAAAGACGGTTTTGTTTTATAAAATTAACGATTTTATTACTAATATTTATTTATTCTCTTAACGTTAACATATACTGCATGCATAATAAGCGAAAGACGCAGGTAAAGTCAAATACTTGTAAAAGTTACAAATTCAAATTGTTGCAAAAATTCAAAATCAATTGCACGTCGAACACCAATATCGTGATCCTTTTCTAATCTTATTTTTATAACAATGTAAACACCTTCGTGGTGTTTACACCTCAAAATATTCTAAATATCTTGAAATTTGAGAATATGTTTTTGTTTTCACTAAATCAGAATTTAAAAATTAAAAAATTTAAATTACAATTTAAATTACCAATGGTCACTGCGCTTTTTACGCGCGACGAGTATACTCGTCGTGACACAAAATACTGTCATTTCTCCATAACGAGTATACTCGTCGAACACAGCTAGCTGGTTAATGAGACCAATCGATTCTTATAGAATTATTTTTATTCCATTAACACCTTGTACGATTTTCTTCGCCACTACGATGGTTCGAACATCTTTGTTTTTAATAATATAGGAAATCTATATTTTTCTATATTTTTTTTCTCCGTTGTCTGACTCGTGAAGGAGATTTCTAATAATGATCCGTTAAATATAAATGTAATACCGTTGTTTTAACTCGGAATAAAATTCTGTTCTCTCGTCGTCAATATTTAAGCATCCATGCAAATGTAGAAACACGATTAATATAAATTTTCCTTCCAAAAACTGTTCCTACCATGTTTCACAAGAATTTTCTTGAAAAAATGCGAACACTAAAATATATGTACATACTTGCAAAATAAATGTACCATTTATGCACCTACTTTTCACAAAAACAGTTGTACAAAAAATTCAGCATTAATATTTTAACACTTCCGTCATTTTTATTGTAATGTATGCTTGTCAACGTTAAAACAAAAGATGTGAAACGGGTCATTTTGAACAGATCAGGCTTAAATCAATAAATTAAAAATCTCAATTCTTCAATTTTCGAAAACTACATTTGCCATCGCAGACAGAAAATAACAAAACCTTTCCTAGTATCAAAAAATTTAAGTGCAACACTTTTATACAATACATAATTTAATAAAGACTATCAAGGCATGTATCCTTTTTAATCAATTACCTGTTTTCAACGAGTATGTACCTACAATAGTCACGAGGAAATGTCAACATTTCGCATTATACGCAATACTGTTTAACACTGAATCTACCATGAAGGTCAAAACGTCCTGTCTCACAATTTTCATCTCGAAATTGTCGAAATCCTGACAACTTCATCCTAACAACCGATCGAACGAATTCCTTCATTCAAGCTTACATCATACACAATAAAAACGGAAATAAAATCTAAATAAATTCATTCTCGTCGTTCTCGTAAAGCGACGCTTTAATAAGTGAATTTCGTAGGTCGATAGGTTCGGTTGTTAAAAACGTAACCGCAAACGTCGCCACCAGTTAAACAAACCACGTCCGATCGTGCAAGTCTCGCCGAGTGATCCAGAGCGACGAGGCGTACAAAGAAAAAAGAAAACTAAGAGAGACCCAAAAATTCCGGCTGAAAAATGTCCGCACCGAGGAGCCTCGCCGAGAACGAGGACCCAGCGAAATTGCGTCGGCAGGTGAAAAAAAAAAGCAACAGATAAAACGGCCGACAGCGAAGCACATTGAAGCGCGGCTGAAGTGGCAACGGTAGTTTGACCAGGTCCTATGATCACGGTGGATCCTGCGGCTGGATCGGGAACGGGTTCGCGAGACCGCGGAAGTACAAAAGCTGTCGCGGGGCTGCAAGATGGCGGGTAACGGGTCGGTGGGCGTGACCAGGCCGTGGATTGGCCGTTTCCGCGGCCAACGGGGGTCGCGGTGCAAGAAAATCCGTGCGGTTCCGCGGCCACGCCAGCTGCCACGCCGCCGCGAGTCGGCGCGTCGGATCCGGGACCTGCCGATTGAAATGCGGCTCGTCTTTGGCCGCCAGTTGCCCGTCGACTCGTGCCCGACACGGTTGTCGGTCCACGTGCTTTTTTTTTCTCTCCTCCCCACGAAAACACCGCCGGGCACACCGTGTCTCCCACGTCCCGATCACGTATGCGATTCGGCCGACATGCCAACGATCGGGGACCGCCGATTTGATATGGAGATCGCGAGTGTCGCGATTCGTCATACCGTTGTTTGACTGGTCACGTAGAGGGCCCGCGGTGCACTCTTTTCCTTTTGCCAGAACGAGGATCGAGGCCGGGTCTCGCGGGTTCGGTTTTCGACGGTGTGGTGCGGCCGGAGGAACACGTGGCGGTACACGCTCGCCCGTTATGCATCGCTGCGTCACCTAACGTCGGCCGCGTTCCTATCGGCGCCCGTGACTCTCATGGTTGGAGCTTGTTGCCGCGGCCGCAGCTCCGGAATTTCTATGGGAATTCGCCAGGAAATTGTAAGAAGCCGATTCGCAGCGGTCACAGCTGTTCGAGCCTGAAATTGGAGCAGCTGTTTCATGTCCCACGCAGTTGTTCGCCGTGGATCTGCCGGATCCTCGTGTTTCGACACACGATTTCCCTTCGTCGCAACATCTTTTGCCGGAGTAAGAAGCTACGACGATGCTGTCCACGGCGATTTAGCATCCGGAGCGACTCTACTACTACCAGATATTTCTGTAGGTACTCGCGACTGTGGTCTTCGCGATCTTCGATCGTCGAAGTAGTCTTAGACGGAAGCTTGAAGGCTTCCGAACGAGGAGAACGCTTCATTCGAGGAATCTGCGGACTCTGAGCTCGCCTAATCGCCTGTGCTGCTTTCCGAATCAATTCTGTTGCGAAATGGATCTACGAAGAGTGATCCATGATCTTGAAGAGTGATCAACCAAATGAACAAAGTTCTTTGAACATTGCGAATTTTGATAGACACCTGGGTTTTCTGATTCCCGAAGCAACTTCAGTGCTCGAATTCACGTTTAGGGGATTACGACGGACCCGCGGAAACTAATCGAGCTGTCGCATGAAACCGACGAGACAATTTCTAGACGTGCTTCTGCCAGCGTTCCGCGCTCATCGGATTCGTACCATAAAATCGCGTCGATTTCAAGGAAGAGCAGCGGTTCGATCTGGTTCCCGTAAACTGCAGTCTATAATGCAGGAGAACAGTATGAAAGTTTGATGCCGAGTGCGGCATTCAATTGAAAGTATCCCATGAATATAACTTTAAGGAAGTTTTTATTTTAAGGAAGAGAGCAGCGCGGTTCGATTTGGTTCCCGAAAACTGCAGTCTATAATGCAGGGAAACGGTATGAAAGTTTGATGCCGAGTGGGACATTCAATTGAAAGTATTCCATGAATATAACAGTATCCGCTGAAGCCAGCCGCACGCAAAGACCGTGTATCAAGTATTAACGAGTTCCTCCGATACCGTAAACGACGGGCGTGTTTTCTTCGAACGCGATAGGCGGATATTGTAAATAATGTTCACGCTGTAGCAGATTCAGAGGATACACGCTTTAGACGGAGACAGTAGATTCTGGCGAAACTGTACGATACCATGGAACGAGCTACGAGATTATTTCATCGAAGATCGCTAATGTATTGAAAAGAGATTGCACTTGAAAATCGTATTCTCCGATTGAACTGCGAAGAAGCACCGTCGTTTCATCGCGAAGATTGTTCATCGACAACTGCCTTATTTTTGTATCGGAGCACTGCCTCGCCTCGATCAGGAAATTCAAACTTTCGAAGCGGTTTCCCGTTCGGAAGGTCTCCGGGGATATGAAGTGTTAGTTTCCGTCGAATATAATAAGGCGAACAGCAAGCATGGATTCGAACGTGGAGGAAACGGAGCTGGACGTCGGATCCGCGAGCGACGAGCTCGAGTCCTCGATCCCGGAGTCGAAGATCATGCGTCGACCAACGCCGAAGCCGTTCACGATCGAGAGCCTGATCGGGAATTGCGGGACCCAGAAAGTACACTGCGATCCCGGCACGCAGGAAGAACGAGCGAACGAGAAAGAAGAGGACTCGGACCGGGACAGGGAATATCTTTATCAGAGACACTATCTGGCGACTGCGGCGGCGAACGCGCTTCCCCCAGGTCGGTTAATTGCTTTTTAACGCGCCAACCGTCGAATATCGACGCCGATAATTGCCGCGATAGCAATGTCGCTCGATCGACGCTAAACGTACCTAATCGTAAAAGTGATCGGTTCGTCGCGTCTTATGAAAGTTGTAGGATTGCATTTGCGCGGAGTCCACGGCGTAGACTTCGCGCAATTTTTATTGTAATATGGGCTTGCGCGAAGAAATCTAGTCATTCTTTTTCCATAAAAGTATCTTTGTCACTTCGATAATTCTAATTGGGTATATGGAAACCGATTTTTGGACCGGTGACGATGCGTTTAGCGTTAATGAAATCGAGACTAGAAAGTTCCAATTTACCAAATTTACCGAATTTACTATTGTGTCTATTTTGCATTTTTAACCTAGTCCTAGTAAGATTCAGTTTGTTCGAGTAGATTACAATGAAAAATGAATGTCAAAATCTAGCTAAAAATTAGCGTCACCCGTGCGTGACCGACGCGGCACCGAACGTATTAAACGCCACAATTATTGCTCGATTTCTGTGTGTCTCGAGTCTTAAGAAACGATAAATACAAGTACGAAACTTCGAGCAGAAATTACGGGTCATTGCCGTATTATGTCGTGACGATACACGTACGATACCTTCCAGTGTGTTGAGTTGTTCTCAGTGTTGGTAAACAGAAAAGTTTGGTTGCTTCGTATGATTTGTAAACGCGCTCGACGTAAGTACGATTCACTGAACGTTGAGTAATCAGAAGCGACAATGTTCTTCCGACTGTTATTGTCTTTGATTTATTTTTATCTTCGTCGGCTGATCCTATTAGAAGTATAATAAACAGGGCGTGGCAGGTGAATGAGAATACCTAAACAATTTTTCTGGTTACAGTGGAACTACGCTTATATGAATTTCATTCGTATAAAGTCTATTTATGCGAACGCCGTTTATATGAACTAACTTTTGGCAATGCCTGATTAACTAAATTCTTTTATACGAATGCGAGCTGCTATTATTAAACGAAAAGTCACAATCAGCGGAGCGAGACAGACGTCTCGCGACAATTGAGCCGTTTATTTCGAAAGTGGCATAAGTCACTTTAACGTAATGAAAAGCGGTGATTTTTTAACGTTTATACGAAATTATTTATACTGAGAAAAATATCAGTATCCTGAGATAACAAATACAAGTAAATCTTCTCGAAAGTTAATGTCCATATTTTTAAACGTGTTCAAACGCAAACCCGTAAATATATCGACTTAAAAACAAAGTGACGTATGCCACTTTCAAAATAAACGGCTCAATTTATCTCGCGACAGGTTCACATAAATGGAGTTCTACCGTATCTAAGAAAAAATGGGGACAAAGTGACAGAAAAATCGCGTTGATTCTGCGACGAATCTTTCCATTATTCGAAAAGCGAGGGAATCGTTTGCCTATGTCCCTAGTCTCTTGTATCATTTTCACGCGAAATTATCGCGCAAGCATGTTCCAGTTCTTAGGAAATTTAGAGCTCTGCGATATTCTAGATCCGAACAGCATCTCCGAAGATAACCGCGAGTGACGGACGCTTCAATGAACCAATTGAAAGCACCGTTTCCCTCGAATCGTTGTTCTCAGCGGAGACCGATGGAATACGTAGACGTCGTGCTAAGCATGCATAGACGCCTCGATTCGACTTGTCAATAATCCATTAGGAACTGATAGACCGAAATGTTAATAGATAATATTATAACGGGAAGTGGAGCGCGAGAGAATCTACGTGTTCCATCCGCGGACTAAGTTATGCCGGTTTAGTTAATTCAATGAAGCGCGCGGCAAACGAGATCCGAGCTCGTTAATCTATCGCCAGAATTTGGGAGCCGTTCGCGTAATGGGAACTAATTAAAAATGAAGAGCGGAAGCAACGATGAATAAATCGAGTTCGTGCTGCTCAATAGCCGATATTATATATACATATATATATTTCAAACGTCCCTTCCACGTATACCGGATGTAACAAATCCGATTTGAACATTACGCGCCCTACTTTCGCTGGAAAACGAAATCCCCTTCAATCAAGAACCACTAAATGTCAGCTCGGATGTTACGTCGTATTAAGATCCGATCCAAACTTGCACCTGTTTAACGGGGTCACGTGTGCTCCGATAGACGTTCGACGTTGCCTCAGAATTTAATTGAACCGCCACGATGCATTATGCAATCGGGCAACTTGGATCGCAGCTACGGTAAATTCTCCCCAATTTTCCTTCGGATTGCGAACAAAAATGGACAATTTGGAAAGGGTGATACGATTAACTGCAGTCACACGGCTCGCTTTTAATTGTCCATTTTTGTTCACCGAAGAAAAATTGGGGATAATTTACCGTATCTAGAAATCGCAAGCTTCTAATCGAGCGATTCTTTCGCCGATTCGCAGACGGCAAATAGATATGCGAAACGTTGATTCTACCGAACAGACCTAGATTTAATTCAAAATTTTTAATATACTCCTTTGGAAATCGACTTTGATCTTTCCATCGAAGCCGGCGGAAATAGCGAATCATTTAACGCTAAACCTACCGCGATCAAAGTGGCCGCTTTCTTATTTTGCAATTCTGCAAAGTTCCGAGACTCTTTCGCGGAACACGCTTGAATAAGTTATATTATTGGAGCGAGTCTTATAATAAAAACTTTACAAATTCCAAATAAATTCGGTCTTCTCACTTCTGTGAAGCAGTACATGCCAGTTAGTATTACTGTTCGGTAGGTTTAGTGTTAAATTAGCTATTAGAAGACTGGAACGAAGGCGAAGCGCTGAAAACGCTGTTCTGGATTCAGATCAACCGAATTCTGTCCCAAGTGCTGCTTCAATATTTTGTGCATAAGCATCGATATCGACATTATTCGCTGAAATGTTGTTTAACCTTTTAGGTACAGCTGAATTCTGCGCGAGGCTATTTCTCTGGACGGCAGAGTCTGATGTGTACTGTACAGAGTCTGATACTGTATATACTGTATGTCCCAAAAATGTCTCGCAGTCCGAAAAGATGTGTATAAGAGACAGAGTCTGATGTGTACTGTACAGAGTCTGATACTGTATATACTGTATGTCCCAAAAATGTCTCGCAGTCCGAAAAGATGTGTATAAGAGACAGAGTCTGATGTGTACTGTACAGAGTCTGATACTGTATATACTGTATGTCCCAAAAATGTCTCGCAGTCCGAAAGTGGCGGGTTCCTCGGGCCATTTGAAGCAACTTTTTCCTTTACAAAAATGTTCTTCGAGACACCGTTAACGAGTTATTAACGAAAAACAGTGACCAATGAGAGGCGAGCTCAGCTGGCGCGAGGCGATCGAGTCAATGAGCGGAACTGGGCCTCGCGCGCTGGTTGGCTGGGCCGCCTCGCGTCAGCCGTACTCGATTCTTATTGGTCACTGTTTTTCGTTAATAACTCGTTAACGGTGCCTCGGAGAAAATTTTCGTAAAGGAAGAAATTGCTTCGAATGATCCGAGGAACCCGCCATTTCCGGATTGCGAGACATCTTTGGGACACCCTGTTGACTGTTGTAAATCGATGTGAAAACAAAAGAAGTGTGAAACAATGCCTATGAAGACGATTATTTGATTCAAACGATGAGCGAGCGAGCTACTAGAGCAAGCCACTATAGTGGCGCGTCGTCCAGAGAGATGACAACAGTTTAAAAGCACGTTGCACGCGAATCGAAGAATATAATCGTAACTGCAGATTTGATGCGACGAGAACGAACCGTCGATGCCCAAAACGGTTAAAGAATCGTTCGACTTATCAGCATGATTGAAACGATTCCATTTCGCTTTGGTGTCTTTCAATCGGCGAGAGAACAACTCTTCTGCTCTCGTCTGCTTTGCGTAATTCCACGATCGTTCGGCGGATCCGTTCCGAGCATTGAAAAACATTGTCGGCAGGTATGCGCGACGCAGGAGTTTCGACAGGAAATTAATGAATCCTTATCGTTCAGGGTTCGGCGTGCCCCTCGGTCTCTACGGAGCCTGGTTACCGATGCGGATGTACGGCAGCGGCGGGACTTCCGGTGTCCCGATGTTGCCAGCGCACACCTCGGCCAGCTACCCGTCACACCAGGAGCTTTATCAGAGCCGATTGTCACAGCATCTCGGCCCGGGAGCTAATCATCTCCAAGGCGCAGCTTATCCGACCGGTTGTCAGCGTACACCAAATCATCGTTGTTCGACGAGCTTCACGGACAGCGAGGACGACGGCAGCATCGACTCCCCAGCTTCGCCTGCCCATGATCTCTCGAAATCGCGACACGGTAAGCCCCTCGACAATGCAACGCGTTCTCTTCTTTTTCGCCCTTGTCTGGAATCTATCCGCCTCTCGAGCCGTCGACGGTGTTTGCTTGCGGACAGCGATGGGCGTTCGATGCCTGCGCCCAATCGCTACTCCTCGCCTGCGAGCATTCGGAGCATTCGCGGTCGACAATGCCGTGTTTTCGAATGAAAGGCGAAAATAAGGCGACTCAGGAGAGCAACGTAAATAGAGCCGTTTCTTATTCATACCGTGGATTTCTATTCCCATAGCTGATCCGACGAATCGTGTTTGTTTCGTCGAATTTTCTAAGAATATCGCTGCGGAGGATCGCTGTTTCTATATTTCGATTATCTTCTTATAAATAATCTTGCAACACTAAGTGCATCTGTTTATTATTGGCCGTGTCCTATACGTAGGATTTTAATCTTGGAACGATTCGGTAAATTTATATCGTCGACGCGTTCAATAACGCGCCGTTCGCACGTGGGTGACGGTAATTTTTTAATAGTTCGTTGAATTTGTTTTTTATTGTAATGCATCCGGACAAACTGAAACTGTAGAACAAATTGTATTCGAACGTATCGAGATGGTTCACGCTGTGATAAAATTGTACTTTTTAGCTTCAGTTTCATTAATTAAATTGCTTCGATTTCGTGGACATTTTCGGAGCTGATCCTCGGCGCTCGACGCGTTAATTATTTAGCGAATTGCAAGAAATCGGAATTTGTGTTTGGAGGAAATTGTTTACCCGATGGCGCGAAAAGAGATTTTCGCTTCTGTGAAGTAGCTTGCAAAATTTGATTCGAGCAATGAAATTTCTCGATTATACGTTCGGCGCCAACAAAATGAACGACTAAAACTAATCGGTTATTAATGTGATACTAAAAGTGTAATACTGATAATTTTCTAGACGAAGTCGGCTTTGCAAATTCAATTCTAATCTTTATATTCTAATTCTGATCTTTAAAATCATATTCGAATATTCTAATCTTTATAATCATATTCGAATATTCTAATCTTTAAAATTATATTCGAATATTCTAATCTTCATAATTATATTCGAATATTCTAATCTTTATAATTATATTCGAATATTCTAATCTTTAAAATCATATTCTAATTCTAATCTTTATAATCATATTCGAATATTCTAATCTTTTTTCATAATCATATTCGAATATCCTAATCTTTAAAATTATATTGGAATATTCTAATCTTTATAATTATATTCGCGCGAATATTCTAATCTTTAAAATCATATTCTAATTCTAATCTTTATAATCATATTCGAATATTCTAATATTTTTTTATAATCATATTCGAATATTCTAATCTTTAAAATTATATTCGAATATTCTAATCTTTATAATTATATTCGAATATTCTAATCTTTAAAATCATGTTCTAATTCTAATCTTCAAAATCATATTCTAATTCTAATCTTTAAAATCATATTCTAATTCCAATCTTTAAAATTGCATTCTAATTCTAATCTTTATAATCGTATTCGAATATTCTTATCTTTTTAATATCACATTCTACTATCCTCATCTTTAAAATCTACAAGAAACATTTATCATCGCTACGTATCGCATTTGCATGGACTGATCCGCGTCTGTCATCACGCAGCAACGTCTCGTAATTAGTCCGCGATAATCGAGCATTCGATAATATCGTGTATCAAATCGATTGTAAGGACAGACAAATTATTAGTATCTCAATATGTGTAAATTCGGTGTCACTGTTTCGAGAAGAGACCTATCGATTGACGGCGTTCATTAATTACTGCCATCGCGCGCTGGCCTTTGGTCACCGCTAGGGATAATTGAAACGATCATTCGCGTATCCTGTTAACGCTGACAGCCGTCAGACGTCAAGCTATAGCGCGCAACTCGCGCATGCATCGAATATAGAATCACCGTCGGCAGTAAGTTAATAGCATATAAATAAATAGGTGTTCGGTGATCCTATTCGGGGGAAGATTACGACCAATTAAATACCGGCTCGAGTGTCTCGAAAGATATTGAAACTGTCGTGTAATTTTGTGGTCATTGAAAATCGTGTAAATTTCACAGTTACAATTTTTGGAAATGCAGTTAATTGTGCAGTTAATTTTTCACGAAGCGTGCCCACGTAGAAACAATTTTTTTCTTCTAATTTCGCGACGAAAAGAAATTTGGGAGTTATTATTCCTTAGCAGTATATAATAAATGAGAAAAATGCAAAATATACAAATATGGTATACCGATACGTTCGATTACACGTAAAACAATTAATTATGATATAAAAATGTCAGGAAACTTCTTGTCAACGATAATTGGAAGATAATTGTTCACAAATAAAATTCTGTGGCGATATACGATAACTGAAAGTATGCAAAGTACACACATATATATATGTGTGTGTACTTATACACAAATACGATAATTGATATATATATATATATATATCAATTATCGTATTTGTGTATCATCGCCAAAGAATTCTATTCGTAAACAATTATCTTCCAATTATCGTTGACAAGAAGTTTTCTGACATTTTTATATCATAATTAATTGTTTTACGTAATCGATCGTATACACAAATACGCTAATTGATATATATCAATTATCGTATTTGTGTATCATCTGTGTACTCTGCATACTTTCCGTTATTGTATATCGCCAAAGAATTTTATTATATATATGCAAAATAAAAATTTCCTACGACAATTGCAAGAAGCAGAAGCCACGCGGGAAATGCATTCTTTCTTTAACGATTTCAACGATGCGCCGAGTTAATCGTAAATGCTCGCATGTCTTCCTGCCGTTTTAAATTGCCTCTCCTCATTACCGTCGCGAATGCGTAAAATAATCCGCCGATCAGTTTCCAAACTGAATTCGTATAAAGACGTAAAAAACGAGAAGAACGATACGCGCGTATGTCGTACGCGGATCGAAAAGAATCGCGATGCCCGTTTAAGGATTCCGGGAGCGTGTCCTCGACTACGATCGTAGTCGCCACGATCGAAGCCGGCAAAGGGCCCGAGATACACAGTAGCGTGCATAAATTACGCCTGTCCCAAAGTCGAATCCTCGCATGTTTGCACACTTCCACAGGTGGAATTCCGCGCTCGCGCGCGCCTTTCGTACGTGATACGGTACTCCGTGAATCCTGGCCGAATTTCAAACGCTCGGCGACCCTTCGCCGAAGAACCCTTCTTCCGCGAAAAGAAGAGCGACCGTCGAGAATCTCCTCGGCCGACATGATAATTCATCGGGCACGTTTCACGGCGTCTCGTTGATCGATATCTGAATACTGCGCGTATTTCGCGAAATTATTCCTATCGCGATCGAACCACGTACAGTAATGTCTCCCTAACTGACGCTCAGATTGTGCACAAAACAGGACAATTTGGGGAGAGGAGATACGATTCATTCGTGTTTTGCTTCTCGTTTTTATAGTTGTTGACAATTCGTAACTATAAAAACGAACCGCAAGGCTCGAATAATCGTATCTCCTCTTCCAAAATTGTCCATTTCTGTGGACAATCTGAGCGTCAGTAAAGGAGATATTACTGTAGTCGTTACAATTTTTAATTGCTATGTATATTATGTCGCTCAAATGAATGAATTCTCATACAAGGAATTATCATAGCCTTTGTACAGTGTGTTCCAAAATTATGGCACTTCCGGGAAATGAGGGGTTCCCGAGGCCATTTGAAGTAACTTTTTCCTCAGCGAAAATGCAATCCGCGGCTTCCTTTACGAGTTATTAACGAAAAACAGTGACGAATGAGAGCTGAGCCCAGCTGGCGCGAGGCGGCCGAGCCAACAGCGCCAGCGGCCGAGCCAACAGCGCCAGCGGTCGAACCAACTGCGCCAGCGGTCGAGCGGTCGAATCCCAGTTCCGCTCATCGGCTCTGCCGCCTCGCGCGACAGCCGAGCTCACCTTTCATTGGTCACTGTTTTTCGTTAATAACTCGTTCGCGACGCCTCCGAGAAAATTTTTCTAAAGGAAAAGGTTACTGCAAATGATCTCAGGAATCTCTCATTTCCCGGAAGTGCCATAATTTTGGGACACGCTGTATACTATTCCGCGCATCAGCAAATTAAATTCCTTCCAAACGCAAGAATTTTTTCAAATAAATCTGTACTCAAGCGGTTAATAAATTGTTTGAAAGCAATAACAATCTCAGCCGTGCGCCAGCGAATCAATCTCAGTAACATAATTTAGTAATTTCGTTTGGGATTATCGTGTGAACACCGAATTTGAAGGATCTTCCTAGCTGTAGCACAATAATTGAAAATCCTGTTAATAGGCTTCCGACGGATAAAGTATAATGTGGCTTCGACGGGCAGACAAACGGTGCAGGTCGAATTTTGGACGGAATAATGCGATTACAGTCTCTGCAAATGAATTTTTGCAGGATCAATTGCATCAATCCTCATAAATGCATTTGCAGGATCGCAATCGAATCAGTTTCCTGTAAATGCATTCCTATGATCTCAATCGAACGTGTCATCGTTAATGCAGTTTTACAAACAGGGCAATTGTGAATTCATAAATTTCATTGTAAGGGTACATTTGTCAGTTGGACGAATTCTGCTTAAAAACCTGGGAACTCATTTTATACTTGTTTATAATTTGCAAGTGATTTATAATGCAAAGATGCTTTTATTGATAAAACATTTTATACAATTTTTAATTACAACAGGAGATACGATTATTCCGACTTTGCATCATGTTTCTATAATCGTTAACAATTCGTGACTATAAAAATGAACCGCAAGGCTCGAATAATCGTATCTCCTCTTCCCAAATTATCCATTTTTGTGGAAAATCTGAGCGTCAATTACAGAAACATTACTGTACTCTTACGCGTACGATACTCGTTTCTCGCGCCTCCTTGTTTATTTTCGTTCCCTAGATTCTGACAACAGACGAACCCATTTCGATTTCGAAGGGACGAGCGACATTCGCGTTTCATTCGTTCCGGAAACAATGACAATTTTTGTATCA